CTTCCTCCTTCCTCCTTCCTCCTTCCTCCTTCCTTCTTCCTTCTTCCTTCCTCCTCCTCCTCCTCCTCCCTAATCTCTCCAGTAGAGGATAAATTTAATTCCTCTCTGGAACACCTCACTGCAGGTGGCAAATTTGGAACTGTAGACTTGCTACAACCAAGCTACCACCTACCAAGCTGTAGGCAGGTCCTTTTTTGAGCTGGTAATTGCTGAGGGCTTCCTTTTGAACTGCAAACTCAGCGGGTGGCAAAGCACGGCAAAAGTCCTGAGTTTTAGATTTCCAAATGGTCAGACCCTTCTTTCTATTGGAAGTCACTCCCAAGGTCATGGAGGTGGTCATTTATTGTAGTCACTCTCTAAACTATTGTTTATTGACCATTGGTTTCTATCTGGAAAGTTGGGCTCCTACTTTTCTTCCTCTTCAGCCTGCAAATGGAGTCAACCATTAGCCTGTCCACCCTCGATGAGCCACTGTTCTTGTCAACAGTAGCCTCTCCGGGCTTAGCCCCCAACTCTAATTTTGTTATATGACATTTTTACGAGGTGATGAGGAGCCCCAGGCACAGATGGTGCACAGATTTGCCTGGGAATTCAGCAGGACCTTTTCCCCCCCCCCTCCATTTCAATCTTCAACTCATTAAAAGATAACACTCGATGAAATTCTTTAGGGGTAATTTTATTAGCAGCACCTGGCTGGCTGGTTTTGCAAGAGGTCCGGATCAGTTTATGAAGGGATGGTCTATCAGTGGGATGGACCAACCTCCTGAATGACAGGACCTAGAGGTCCTGGTGGGCTCAGGCTTCTGAACGTAGCAGGTCCACATTATGAGCATAAGGCACTGTGTGATACCAGACAGGCGTGCCGTTCTCTCTTCATACCCTCTTAGTATGTGTACTAAACAATGATTAATCCTCTGAGTCAGCCTCCTACAGCCTCCAGCCCTCCAGATGTACAGGTAGTCCTCGACGTACGGCCACAATTGAGCCCAAGGTTTCTCAAGTTAAGTGAGACATTTGTTAAGTGAGCTTTGCCTCATTTTATGACCTTTTCTTGCCACAGTTGTTAAGTGAATCAGTGGATCAGTTAGTCACCCAATTGTTAAGTGAATCTGGTTTCCCCATTGGCTTTGCTTGCAAAAGGGGATCCCGTGACCCCGGGACACTGCAACCGTCGTAAATAGGAACTAGTTGTTAAGTGTCTGAATTTGGATCACACGATCATGGGGATGCTGCAAAGGTCATAACCGTGAAAAATGGTCCTAAGTCACTTCTTTCAGTGCTGTTGTAACTTTGACCGGTCACTAAATGAACTGTTGTAAATCAAGGACTACCTGTATTCCCTTGTGAACCTTAAAACTGTATCTCCCCTTCCTTCTTTCAGCCTCTTCTCCACCTGGGCTCCCAAGGAGAGAAACAGAGAGTGGATTTATACAGTTCCTGGCCTGGAACCAGAGGCAGGAGACTCTTGTGATCCCGACTGTGAGGGGAAGAAGGTTTGTTTGCGATGTTTAGAGGCCCAGAATGGAGGCCGGTGAGATACGGGGACTGAGGTGGATCGCGCAAGGAGAGCAGGATCACAGGGCACAGAGTAGCAAGGAAGTTGTGGGGCGCTCCCGGATCAATGTTGAGCTGCTGGCAGAAGGCCAGAAGCCAGGGTGCTCACTGCCAAGGTGCCCAAAGAAGCAGCCAGCAGTGAGGCGTGAGAGAAAGGCTCTGTGTTCTTTTCCAGCCACCGGTATTCCTCCTCCAGCTGACGTCTCTGCAGCTCAGGCCCAATGATCTGGCGGATGGTCTCGTAGTACTTGTTGATGTACTGGATCTGCAGAAAGACAGAAGGGAGGTTCAAGATGGCATCCCTTGGCTTGGTCCGCTGATACCCATCTAGGCCTCGTTTACCTGGTCCCGGGAGAGGAGACTCTCATTGATGAGGTTCCGTGCATAGGGCACCAGGGACACCACCTTGAAGGTCAGGTAGGGTTCTTCCTTCACTGGATACTGCAATCAATAAAGAGGAGAGACTCAATTCTTGTAGGACATGCATGGATCACGCTGGGATCCCAGGTTTGCTCTTCAAGTGGCATTTTGGAATGAGCCCATAGAGACGTCTTTGAAAGCTCTCCGAGTCCATGCAGGAGACTGCATTGCATTAGAATGTATGTGTTGCTTCTTAAAGAAATAAAAAAAGGGGGGTAGATTTTTCATTGAAATTCTGTCCATGGGGACGAGTTATCTCCTGCCTGTTGGCCAGCCGGGGTCCTAACCACTACACACATCTGTTATTACAAGTATGCATTATATGGCTTCTAATTTGCTCAGTAACCAAAGATCTTTATTATCTGCCACGACACATTTTATTTTCCCCTCCAAGTTGCCTCTTGGGGAGTCCATTCACAAAACTCCATTGTCAAACATATGTGGAGTATAGGAAGGAGGTCCAGGCCTAAGTTGATTGGCCTACTGCAGCTCTCATGGCCTTTTTTTTTTTTTTTGGGTGTGAAGAATCAGGACCACACCTTAAATTCCAGTTAAGATTATTGATTGCTTATGCCTATACACAAGAATCTTGTCAACTAACAGCCGGCACTAAATTGGCGCTAGATAAGAATCAATAGAATTCAAGAGGGGTTGAACTTAGATTGTTTGTGGGAACGGAATGATTCTAGGCTGATTCCTTGCTTGACTCCGGCCCCTATACTTCCTCAGTCAAAGGTTATCTGGAAATCAGCAAGTTGGGGAAGGCTGATAAAAATCCCTCCTCCTTTCAACGTAATAATTGTTGGGATAATCCCAGATTCCTTTTTCCCAGGGACCTCCAGCATGCCATGGATGAGTCTACAGGTAATATTCTAGACCCTGCCGGTCTTATTTTCTGCATTGCAGTATATCTACCTGCTAAGACTACCTTTCCTAGCTCATCATATGCAACTGTAATGCCCAGAGGCGATCCTCCGATGGATGGCATGTTATGAATGGAACTGGTAAGAGCAAGAAAAGTGTCTCACCTTGGTCTTAGCTTGTACCACAAGTGCAACATCCTCAAGACGGATTCCAAATTCCCCATCATGATAATAACCAGGCTCTGGAGACAAAGAAAGTTAGAAAAGGAGTCAGGAACAAAATCTGAGATGCCTCAGATTTATTTACAACTAGCTGTACCCGGCCACGCGTTGCTGTGGCTCAGTCTGGTAACAGTGTGTGCTGCTTTTACGTCCAACAGATGGCGCTGTTTTTTTAAAAAAGCATGTTTTTACCTGTCACCGGTGTGACATCTATATAATATAGGTATATAAAAACACGCGCGTATTCGAATGCAACGTTGTGTCAAAATTTCGAAGCAATCGGTGAAGAACTTTCAGAGATTTAAGATTTTGAACAAACGAACATTTACATTTTTATTTATATAGATTGTCTAATGTTTATGTGTTTTATCTGTGTTGTAAGACACTCAGAGTCACCTTGAACTGTGAGATGGGGGGGGGCAAATAAATTTCATAAATAAATTAAATAAATAAAATCAGGTTGTCCTACCTATGGAAGTGAACATCCCCTTATCCAAAGGAACATTGTTGGACTGGAACCCAACAGGCCCTGATGGAGGAAGAAAAATATTATTTTTGAAAATCCCAAGGAGTTATATAGCAAGATGTGCTGCTTTTTCCCCGTGACTTTCCACGACAAATACAAGGTATCTCACAATGCCTTGGGCAGTGGGTTTCACAGCCACACCTGAAGCACATCACAAAATATTAGGGAGGGTGGCTCTGCAAATCTCTCTTGGGTAAAAGTCAACAGCGTTCCAGCAATTGAATAATCAAATCAATTTTCTGAATTGGATAAAGCCAGCTGATTCGATTGATTAAAAAGTTGTTCTGCAACCCCAGAAGAATCATCCAGATAGAACCGGTCTTTTAAAGGAAATTATTCTGACGATATGATCAAACTGACAATCCAAAGTGAATTAATGTCGATCTTTCAATCGAGCCGATCATTTCAGTAAATTGGATTGGGCCTCATTCGCACAGTTTATGAGGAAATTGCTTTAAATTAGGACTAAGGAGCTGCAAAAATCCAAATTACCACCAGATGCCAGCAAAGCAATACAGGAAACCTTGACTGATTTCTAATGACTAGTGGGATTTTTGCAGCCCATAAACGGCAGTCCTAGCTCTAGTTTTGAATTGTCTTCGCTCACTTCTTCTTAGATATTAATTTAGATGTTAATCTTTCCAAGTATATCTGAAGGTGCTAAAGCCTGAACTGGAATTTTCTGTGTGCAAGGTGGGAACTCTTATCCTATGACGCTGTTTTGCAATGGTGAGCCCATCATCTCAAATCATAAGGACCTATTCCCTCTTTCCAACAGCTACTAAGGAAGAGCGCATTGAAGCCTGAGGGACAGAGGACACAACTCCCATGAAAACTGGTCCATCCGGGAAAGTATTTGGGGAATGTGCTTAGCAAAATGTAGAGATGAATGGTGAGACATTCGGGGAAGCCTATGTATGGGGTCCTTGGTGCTCTCTGAACTGGGTTGTCTTCTTGCAGATGTTTCATTACCAAGCTAGGTAACATCACCAGTGCTAGAAAAAAGAGGGGTTTGCTCACTGGCAGGGCAAACCACTTGCATATAAACAGAGAACAAACCCCTCTCCCTTCTAGCACTGATGTGGTCACCTAGTTGGGTAATGAAACGTCTGCAAGAAAACAGCCCAGCTCAGAGAGCACCAAGGACCCCACAGTTCAACCCTGAGCTACAAAAATTCTCTTCTATTGGTAAACATATGTATAAAAACCCCAGACTTTTCTCCATGAAGTCATACTATCTGTTCTAGGACTGAAGAAACTATTGAGTCAATTAGAATTGAACTGAATAATTAAATAATCAAACAGATGCTGCAGAAGTACAACTCTTGTAGAAGCAGTTGTAGCAACATCTTGAAAGCCAAAGCTTCTCCATTCCTGGTTCACACTGACCGGTGGTGGTTCCCCACCAGATCTGCTGTCACCAAACAGCCAAAAGACCTGCGGTCTGACCCGGTTGCCACTTACATTCATGAACGGACAAGAAGTTGCCGATGCCATGACCGGTGCCGTGGCCGTAGTTCAGCCCGGCTTCCCACAAGGGCCGGCGGGCAAAAGATTCCACAAGTCTTCCTGCAACACAAAAGTCAAATCTTACTGACTCTCTGCAGGGAAAATATTTAGGCTTCTCTCTTTTTCTTTCCCCCCATACATGCAAGTTGAAGCTTTGCTCTAAAAACATATAAAAAGAGCGTAGCAAACCAAACACCAATCTAATCAAGCATTTGCTTCCCAGTATGATAACCAAATGCGCATCGGAAACCCTCCAATGCGGGCAGCAACATTTTCTGAAAGGCAGAAGATTCCCAGGAAGGAACAGTTCCATTCTACGTTGCACTGGAATTCCGTGTCCAGTTCTGATGGAATACAGAATACAAGAAGAAAGCAGAGAACCTGGAAAGAGGCAGAGAAGAGCTGCAAAGGGGATGATAAGCTTGGAGGCGAAACCTTATGAAGAACTGTTCAAGGAACTGGATATATTTAGCCTAGAGAAGAGAAGACTAAGGGCACACAGGAGAACACTTTTTTTCCAAGACTTGAAGGGATATCACAGGGAAGTTGTATAAGGAACGGTTGCTGGAACTGGGTATGTCTAGTTTAACGATGAGAAGGACGAGGGTGACATGATAGCAGTGTTCCAATATCTCAGGGGCTGTCCCAAAGAAGAGGGAGTCAAGCTATTCTCCAAAGCACCTGGAGGCAGGACAAGAAGCAACGGATGGAAACTGATCAAGGAGAGAAGCAACCTAGAACTAAGGAGAAACTTCCTGACAGTTTAGAACAATTAACCAGTGGAACAACCTGCCTCCAGAAGCGAGGAATGCTCCAACACTGGAAGTTTTTAAGAAGAGACTGGACAGCCATTTGTCTGAAATGGTGTAGGATTCCTGCCTGAGCAGGGGGTTGGACTCGATGACCTCCAAGGTCCCTTCCAACTTTATTATTATTGTTGTTGTTGTTGTTGTTGTTGTTGTTGTTATTATTATTATTATTATTATTATTATTATTATTATTATTATTATTATTATTATTATTATCTGAAGATAGGACAAGGGCCCAAGGGTGGAAACCTCACTAAGAGGTCCAAGCTCTAAATGAGACATTTCCTGACTGTGAAAATATGAAGCAGTAGAGAACCTGCCTCCTGAGTCATGTGGACCCATCCCTGGAGGTTTTCAAACCAAGATTAGAAAGCCGTTTCTCTGAGATGGTTTGAGGACTCGTTCTTTGAGCAGGCGATTGGATCAGAAGATTTCCAAGGTGGCTTCCAATGCTATGATTCCAAGAATCGTAGAAAAATCTCTGAAAGAAAGCTTTCCCCAGGTGACTATACACCCTGATAAATGTCTTTCTCAAGGTTCATGGCGCTGGATTCTCACAATATACTAAATCCTAAGGTCTTTCATGCAGAGGGTGCTAGATAGGCTCAAGGATCATGGTTTACAGATAACACTGACACAAAGCATTCTCATTCTAGGCTACAAACTGACTACTTTATGATGGGGATGGGATAGATGAATCTAGTATGCCAAGTAGCAATTTGGAAGGTTCTAGAACTGTTGCAGTTCTAGAACTGTTCTAGAACTGTTGCAGTAAAACAAAAGACAGGTAAGCATTCTAGAAACCAAGACATTTAGGAGGTAGAGAAGGCAGTCCAAAATATGTGTGGTAAAATGAAACATTCGTTGATAATGACTCTAAGAGAATAGGACAAGAAAATATGGCTGATGATGTTGCCTCGTTTGGTAACGAAACGTTCAGGAATTATATTCAAACAAGCTTGGAGAACAGGACCACAGCCAGCATCTAAAACCCAAGCTACAAATATTTCCAATTATTTCAGAATTATTCTAGCTCTGCTTCTTTCAACATCCTCTTCTCCAGATGCTCCAGAGAGCTGCAGGTCATTCCGGCCAAGGATTTCAAGAACACATCTGGAGCCCATCAGGCTGGTGATATGAATAGACTCCATACTGTATTAACTCTCAGGTTCTCTTTCCTTCAGGAAACCCTGGTTATATCCAGGCTCAAAGTGTTGAGACTTGTCGGAGTTGAGATCCCAATTGAAGAAGAAAACCCAGGAAGTCATCAGGATATTAGCTTTTCTTGCTTTCTTTATCCCCCCCCCCACCTCCCAAATTCTCACCTGATGATCTGGGTGGAAAGACAAGTTTGCTCAAGTCGATATTTCCCATCAGCACTCTTGTGTAGGCTTCCTAGAGGAGAAAAGACGATGCTCTGAAATCACGTTTGGAAGGGGAATTCACAGTAACCCTAAGCTTAGTATGATTTGTGAACCCAGAACATACATAACTCCGGTTTCCAGCCAATGGCTTGCGTGAAGAACATACAGAACAACAGCCCAGTGGTTACAGACTAAAATAAGTTTAAATGAAATAAATAGGTCTGTCCTGGAGTAGCACCTCTCTCTCACAAGACCTACATACTCCATCTCTCTCATTATGCATCCGGTATTCTATGGACAATAGTATCGAAAATACATCCTTTCGTCTTCTCTATATAAAGCATTTCTCCTGTAGCTGTTGGAAAAACACCATGGTACCTTTTAGGGAATATTCTACTCTACACTTTGCTGGACAAAATACTTGATGCTTGATTCTTTTCGTGAGAAGTGCTTGCACCTTCTCCCACATGGTGCCAATTAGATACTTTGAGCCTGAATTGGATGCTTTGGGGGAATCCTACTTCTGCTCCCTCTGAGCATAGAGTTAGATTTTTTGGAGAAAGCCAGCTGAAAAATTATTCCCAAAGTCAACTCATAGCGGTGTGTTGAAGAAAGAAAAAACACCTTCTAAGCCATTTCCCAGCGAGGAAATAAAAAGTGAGGCATCTCTGGATCTTCTTTGGAGGAAAGCCGCGTTAGATACCAGGTGTACCGTTCAGGTGTATTTGGGAATCAGCCTTACCTTCTGAAAAGCTGTGGGCTCCCCCCAGTGGATGGTCCGGGTGATGTCTGTGGTTCCGTCACTACACAATGAGAAACAAGGAAGGAGCTACTTCAAGACGGAACTTCCTCCACTGAGCTCCTAGCAAGCCACGGCTCGTCAGACTTCCCGGGACAATTATGAGACCGTGGCTATCATGTCTGCTTTACAGGGCAAAATCTCGGTTTTAGCACTTCTAAAGGATGGGAGATGAGTAAAGCCAGGTCTAGTATCCAGTCCCTGGGTCAGCAGATCAGGGACAGATTTCTAATGCTGGCTTGTTTAATAAGAGTGGTAACCAACTGGCCCCGGTGTCTGTGGAGATTCTCAGTCATCCAGGTCACAGTCATCCCAAAGGTGCTTTTTCACGAGGCAACTGGACTTTCTTGTTTTTCCTTTGAAGACGCTTCGCTTCTCATCCAAGAAACTCAGAGCTGAAGAAGCTTCTTGGATGAAAAGTGAAACGTGTTCAAAGGAAAAACAAGAAAGTCCAGTTGCCTTGTGAAAAAGCACCTTTGGGACAATTGCCCCAGTGTTGCACAATAAATCATCTAGGCTCCTTTTAGTACTGCAATTCAAAACTAAATTCTTTGATTCCAAAGGAATAACTTTATCATCCATCCTTCTCATTCTCTGTATCTATCTATCTATCTATCTATCTGTCTGTCTGTCTGTCTGTCTGTCTGTCTGTCTGTCTGTCTTCTATCTATCTATCTATCTATCTATCTATCTATCTATCTATCTATCTATCTATCTACCTACCTACCTATCATCTATCTATCTATCTATCTATCTATCTATCTATCTATCTATCTATCTATCTATCTATCTATCTATCTATCTATCTATCTATCTATCATCCATCCATCTCATCCTCTGTATCTATCTATCTATCTATCTATCTATCTATCTATCTATCTATCTATCTATCTATCTATCTATCTATCTATCTATCTATCTACCTACCTACCTACCTACCTACCTACCCACCTATCATCTACCTACCTACCTACCTACATCTATCTATCTATCTATCTATCTATCTATCTATCTATCTATCTATCTATCTATCTATCTATCTATCTATCTATCTATCNCCATCTCTCTCATTATGCATCCGGTATTCTATGGACAATAGTATCGAAAATACATCCTTTCGTCTTCTCTATATAAAGCATTTCTCCTGTAGCTGTTGGAAAAACACCATGGTACCTTTTAGGGAATATTCTACTCTACACTTTGCTGGACAAAATACTTGATGCTTGATTCTTTTCGTGAGAAGTGCTTGCACCTTCTTCCACATGGTGCCAATTAGATACTTTGAGTCTGAATTGGATGCTTTGGAGGAATCCTACTTCTGCTCCCTCTGAGGATGGAGTTAGATTTTTTGGAGAAAGCCAGCTGAAAGATTAGTCCCAAAGTCAACTCATAGCGGTGTGTTGGAAAAAAAAACCCCACCTTCTAAGCCATTTCCCAGCGAGGAAATAAAAAGTGAGGCATCTCTGGATCTTCTTTGGAGGAAAGCTGCGTTAGATACCAGGTGTACCGTTCAGGTGTATTTGGGAATCAGCCTTACCTTCTGAAAAGCTGTGGGCTCCCCCCAGTGGATGGTCCGGGTGATGTCTGTGGTTCCGTCACTACACAATGAGAAACAAGGAAGGAGCTACTTCAAGACGGAACTTCCTCCACTGAGCTCCTAGCAAGCCACGGCTCGTCAGACTTCCCGGGACAATTATGAAACCGTGGCTATCATGTCTGCTTTACAGGGCAAAATCTCAGATTTAGCACTTCTAAAGGATGGGAGATGAGTAAAGCCAGGTCTAGTATCCAGTCCCTGGGTCAGCAGATCAGGGACAGATTCCTAATGCTGGCTTGTTTAATAAGAATGGTAACCAACTGGCCCGGTGTCTGTGGAGGTTCTCAGTCATCCAGTTGCCTCGTGAAAAAGCACCTTTGGGACAATTGCCCCAGTG